GACAATAGATCGTTTTAAAAGCGAATTAGATACGTTAAAGGAAGAAGTACAAATGGAAAACATTAGTAAAGTTCCAGTTGCCACTGTTGTAGTCTCTCTTCTTGTTTATTTTCTTTCTCCTCCAATAGCTGTTGTAATCTCTCTTGTTTATTTTGTTGTTCGAGCTGCTACTGCTGTAATCTCTTTTCTTGTTTATGTTGCTGTTCAAGCTGCCACTGTTGCAGGTTTTCTTGCAACTGCTGTAATCTCTCTTCTTGTTTATTCTCTCGTTCGTCTTGTTTCTTTTCTTTTTCCTCTAACAACTGTTGCAATTTCTCTTCTTGTTCTTCTTGTTTCTTTTGCTGTTCTTGTATTGCTGCCATTAAGTCTGCTAGGCTGTAGTTTGATTTGCCTCTTCTCGTTTCCATTTTTTTTTATCCCACTCTCTGACACCAAAAACATACAGAGACGTAACAAAGTTTGTTAATTCTTCTAAGATACAAGTCCTTTCTTTATAAAACTTGTTTATTCTTCCTCAATATAACTTTGTAATGTACTTAATTTTCACAGTTACACATACTATAGTTCACAACAATTCACTCACTTTCTATCGCGCTTAGACTTAATTGTCCGTCCCCGCAAACTATAGTTCCGATCTCTGTGTCTGCTATCCTCAGTTTCCGCCGACCGTAATCGCTGTCTTTCTTTCTCTCTGCCTGCTTCGTCTCCGCTACGTCTTTGTTTCCACCACTGCTTCGACTCCGTCTCTCTCTCTCTCACTGTCTAGCGCATTTATATACGATAATACTGCCTGTTCTAGAAACTTCTAAGACTCTCAACACGTGCTACCAGCGTCGGTTGACGCAACGCTGTCGCAACACACTAGTGAATCTTCTAGAATACTCGTCACGTGACCCCGCTGTCGTAACGCATTAGCGAATCTTCTAGAATACTCATCACGTGACCCCTCCCCCCCTGTCGTAACAGTATGATACTAAGACTAAAAGCATTATATAAAAATAATGTTCCAAGTATTGTGTTCTCTTTCGAGCTGCTTCTGTCAAAATCTATTAGCTTAATGAGATGGTCACAAGTACTGTATTTTTCGAAATATAAGACGCACCCTTATTTTGAAGACAAAGTTTTGGGGAAAAAAGCTACAGTCGCGTTTGAAAGATTTTTACCGAACAAAAATTCAGTTTGATACTTTAAAGATTAGTATATACTGTTCTAAACACAAAAGAGTTCAAAACATCAATATAAGAAAATACCGGAAATCAAAAAAAGGTTTACTGTTATTTAGTTTGGTTCAAAACCTACAAAATCTTCATTGCTTTCACTGTCTCTTGGAAAGGAATCATTGGATCCAATATTATGGTCAAAGAGAATGTCATCCTCGGTCCCATCCATTTCGTTACTGATACCACATTTCTTAAATGACTTAATAATTTCTTACTTTTTCCCACGAATTCTTCACTCACATGCAGACCTAGGCCTTTGCGTTTCATAAATCGATAACACCACGATGTATGACCAGTAAAATCTTCTCTTTGCTTTAAAAAATATCATATTTGTAGAAACTGATAGTCCTTGCCTTCTCTGATCCACAACCCATTCGTACAGTTTATTTTCGAGATCTCGCCATTTTGTTTTTTTTTCCTCGGGAATTGTGTTTATCACTTTTAATCATTTTCAATTTTTTTTGTTCGCGCCAGCAACGAATCATTTTTTCTGTTGGTGGAGGGCAAAAATAACTTTCGGCAGCTCTTTTGCATAATTAATTACACTTAATTT